ATTGCATGAATTCGCCTACTTATAAAATTTCTCATTTTCACTTTCAAAAGCCCAGACTCCCAAACACTTATACGATTAGCTGTTATTTATGCAGTGTGGTTGTCAAGAGCATATCTATCGGAGAATTTTTTAATCTGGCGGATAGAATAAGTGTAGGGTGTGGCTATCTTTTTATTTGAGAGGAGCACTTGCATGAGTGTTTCCTTTTATGTTATTATTATTATTATCTATTATCATCATCATTATTATTATTATTATTATTATTATTATTATTATTATTATTATTATTATTATTATCATTATTATTATTATTATCATTATTATTATTATTATTATTATCATTATTATTGTTGTTGTTGTTGTTGTTGCTATTATTATTACTGTTATTGTTATTATTATTATTGTTATTATTATTATTATTATTATCATTATCATTATTATTATTTTATTATTATTACTATTATGATAATAATAATAATAATTATTATATTGTTATCATTATTGTTACCATTATTATTATTAATATTATGACTATTATTGTTGTTTTTATCATTATATGTTTTTCCTTTATTGTCATCATCATTATTATTATTATTATTATTATTATTATTATCATTATTATTATTATTATTATTATTATTATTATTATTATTATTATTATTATTATTATTATTATTATTATTATTATTATTAATATTATGACTATTATTATTGTTTTTATTTTTATATGTTTTTCCTTTATTGTTATTATTATCATTATTATTATTATTATTATTATTACTATTATTATTATTATTATCATTATTATTATTACTATTATTATTATGACTATTGTTAACATTATCATTATTGTGATCATTATTACTATCATTATAATTGTTACCTTTATCATTATTATCATCATTGTTATTATCATTATCATTTGTACTTAGCATCATCATTATTGAGTATTATTAGCATTCTTCTTATTATTATTGTTATTATCATTGTTATTATCATTATTATTGCCATTATTGTCATTATCATTACTATTATAAGTAATAGTATTAATATCATTATTGTTATCATTTTCATTGTCATTACTGTTAGCCTTATTTTCATCATTTATATCTTTATTAGTTTTTAACATTATAATTGTTATCGTTAATATAATCATAATTATCATTGCTATTATTACTATTATCAACATTATTATCATCATTACTATTACTATTATTATATTTTTTATTATTGCTATTATAATTTGTATTATCATTTTCATCATAGTCACTATTACTATTATTGTCATAATTATCATTATCTCTGTTATTATCATTATTGTCACTGTTGTTATTATTTTTTCATTTATCATCATTTTTGCTATCATTATTACTATCACCATCATTATCATTGTTGTAATTATCGTTATTATTATTATTATTATTATTATTATTATTATTATTATTATTATCATTATTATTATTATTTATTAATTTTGTTGTTGTTGATATTGTTTTTTTGTTCATGTTGTCGTTTTTGCTACAATTATCAACTTTATTATTACTATTATTATTGTTAATATTATCATTATCATCATCACCATAGTTATCGTTATCATTACCATTAAAACTCACCATTACCATTATATATATATATATATATATATATATATATATATATATATATATATATATATATATATATATATATATATATATATATATATATATATATATATATATATGCATATATATATATATATATATATATATATATATATATATATATATATATATATATATATATATATATATATATATATATGTATATACATATGTGTGTGAGTGTGTGTCATAACACTTGTTTGGGGACTATCTATTTACACAGTTATCTGTTTCTTGTCTAATCTGGATATAAATAACAAATACATTGTAATTGATAAGTTTAGGGATTAGCTAATAACATACATTACGTATATTACATACATACATACATTATATTCAGTTTTATATATCATTGTATGTATCTTTCTCTTCCCATCTATGTGATGTCATAGATGAATATAAGCCAAGATCAATAATCGTATTGTAACGAATCCCTCATTGACAGATACTAGGATTCCTATTTGTGACAGTTCAATAATTCCTTTTAAAAATCCCGCCATTGACGTCATTCGCCATTTTTGCGATGAGACATTCCTTTGGGGTCGCATTGCAATACGGTGATACGATATTCCTGCTAGTTATACCAATTAACTTAAAACTTACGTAATTGTATCTAAAATATTAGAAATATCGTAACACGGGAAGAATAGTTAAAAATTTGAGACGATCATTGGTATTAAGGGACTTACGGTAATATTTCTCCACAGAGCAACCCGGACCTAGAGTCGGTGTCAGTGAATGAGAGTGAATGCGAAGGGAAGGGTTCGCCCAACAACACTTCTACTTGACACTCCCTTAATTCTCCCTTAATCTCTTAAAAAAAACAGACGGTGCTGGCGTTTTGGGAGATCAGGAAGGTAAGTTCTTTCCGATAACGCGAAGAGGGAGATAGAGAGGGACGGAGGGAGGAGAAGGAAGGGGAGAGAAAAAAGCGGTGTCAAAATGGCATTTATTTACAGTCTCTCGATCTCGGGGAAAGTATGACGGATTTTTCATTCTTTTGGGCGAGAGTTTAGGGTTTATTTAACTCTTTAAGGGGGTTTAAGGTGGATTTAGGATCCGAGGAAGAGGTGGAGGTTCCTGAGAATGGGTAAAGGAAGGGAATAAATCGAGAAATCCGCGAGGGGAGATTACCTCACAGGCAGCTGATGACGTCGGTTTTTGGGAGGCTTTTTGACGGCAAATCGGGTTTAATGGAAAGATTATCACGATTTAAATGATTCTTTTGACCCGAGAGAGAATTCGATGAAGGCATGACGTTATTTTAGGGGTTTCTGAGGTGGGTTTAAGGGAGGCAGGACTGTGCTGGGGAAACGCAGGGGGGAGCGGCCTGTGTATTAGGGTGTGACTGACTCGAATTTTTTCACCAATTTTTTCGTCTCTCGTTCTTTCCCCTTTTAGCACGCCTCCCTTCTGTCCTCTAGGTAATTAAGCTTGGCCGAAATTATCTTCAGTCTTAATGAGCTAGATGGTAGCTTTATCCAGACTATAGGCCTACATGTAACCAAACATAAGTTAAGCTCCAACACAGCCAAGCCTAATGGTAGGTAGTAATCATGTGTTCTGTGGTGTTATTTTATCTTACTTCATGCTATCTGAACTTTACTGAACCCGTGAAGACCGGATTAGAAGATATCGCCACTTCCACAACAGGCCTTATTCTTACTGGTGCTGCCTCCCTGCCTGTTGGCTCTCTGGGGAAGGTCAACAGAACTCCACCACATATGATTTGGCGAGATGGAACTTGTAGGCCACTTTAGCTAGCTGTGTATCACCAAATGGGAACCAGTCTAGGAATATGTGAAGTAGATGGTCCTTTGCTAGGGGCACAGAGATTAGTGGTTGCTTGGTAATGATTTGCGCTTGCATGATGCCACACTGATGCAGGTTTTCCATCAAAGTCTGTAACAAATATTAAGTGAATTGGAAGAGGACACAGCCAATATTATTAGAGGGAAAAAGTTTTGGTTTGAAAGCCGCATTAGCCAGGAAAAAAACAGTAAAGTCGCGAGGAAACGAGCATATGCTGGACTTAGCCGGAGAGGTCTAGTGGGAAGTGGGAGGTAGTGGGGGCTGGAAGTGGGGAGGGATGGGATGGTTTTGGTGAGGAGGAATTCAAGGTTTTAACTCTATATCTGAGAAGACTGTACGTGATCACTAATCCTATGATTCTGTAAATTGCTGTGGATGGATACTTTTTAACCTAGCATAGCCAAGCCCAGAATTTTTGTATGGTTGGGATTTGTTTACCATTTTTCATACATTTTCACTAAGTGACAGTTGAAGGTTTTTTTTCATGAACATAACTGTGTACTGTGTTGGTAATTACTTGATGCCTTGCTTGGTGCTTAGACCCATGGCCTTTGATAATCTATTGTAGGCTTTTGCATTTTATGCTGATTACATTTTTGTTCCAAAAAGTGTGGTTTGTTCTTTATAACCACTACTTTAGTTTTTCCTTATTTCTAGATAGCCAGTTCTAGATAATTACCAATAACAGACACTAGAAAGGTTTATGTCCAATGGGGCAGTGATCATTAATGAAATTGGTTGAGGTCATATGAGTGATTTGTTAACAAGGTGGTAATGGCAGTTGGATTGCATTTGTGGAAAGATAAAAGAAATTTTATATATATATATATATATATATTTATATATTTATATATTTATATATTTCTCTGTCTCTGTCTCTGTCTCTGTCTCTGTTCTCCTGTCTCCTGTCTCTGTCTCTGTCTCTCTCCTCCTGTCTCGCTCTCATTCTCTCTCTCTACCTCTCTCTCCTTCTCTCTCTGTCCTCTCCTCTGTCTCTCTCTCTGCCCTTCCTACTCATCTCTCTCGATCATACTCGCTCTCTCTCTCTCTTCCTCGTCTCTCTCATCACATGTCTGCCTCTCTGTCTTCTCCTTCTGTTTCTCATCTCCTCCTGTCCTCTTCTCTCTGCTCTTCCTCTGTCTCTCCTCTCTGTCATCTCTTTCTGTCTCTCTCTCTGTCTCTCTCTCCTGATCCTCCCCTCTCTCTGTCCTCTCTCTCTAGTCTCATGTCTCTTTCCTCCTGTCTCTGTCTCTGTCTCTGTCTCTCTCTCTGATCATCTGGTTCCTCTTTCCTTGTCTCTTTCTCACTGTACATCTGTCTCCTGTCATCGTCTCTGTCTGTCTCTGTCTCTGTTCATGAAGGGAGAAGTTTATGGCCAGCTTGAGATACTTTTAACCAAATGAAAAATTAGAAGTGCAGTGAACATATTTACTCTGGTCTGTATATATATATATAAATATATACTGTTCATGAAGGGAGAAGTATATGGCCAGCTTGAGATGCTTCTAACCAGATGAAAAATTAGAGGTGCAGTGAACATATTTACTCTATTATTTACTCAATTATTTTCCAATAATTGAGGCTAAAACAAGGTTGTAACCCTACTTTGGAGGGGCTTTAGAGCTTGAACGGCTGCAACCAGATCCAGACGAACAAACAGCTATTTAAGGGGCACAACTTGGAGCAGGCTGACCATGGGTGGCGTGCATCCTTGCCAACAGGAATCTGGGCTTGGTTCGTACTAGTGGATGTTGACTATTGATCAAAGGGATCGGGATGATGATCACCGTCACTTCAGGAAAAATAGTTGCTGAGGGCGGGATGACACTGAGGGCTGGAGTGGTGAGAGTCATCCCTATGAATGCACAAAGCTTTAGGAGGAAGATTAGACTCAGTTTGTGTTTAGGAAGGGAAATGGACAGTGCCATTTTCTAGAGCATAAGACATGTCTTAATCAAAATAGGTACAGCTGCTGCAACCTCATATTTACTGCGAAATGATGAAAAAATCTCTGGAGGGTGCACCACTCTAAGTAATACAGAAAATTGAGTAATGTGGAAATAATATTAAATAACACAACAAAATGTTACTTGCTGTTATTGCACACAGTTGTAGACTATGTAGACTAGAGAAATGATATGTTGTGTGAACAAGGAAAACTGTCTATTACTATCTTGATACAATATACCATATGACAAATATAGACCTTGAAAAATGGCAAAAGAGAAAAGAAGAAAAAAAAATCTTCATGCAGGAAAATAGATGATAACATTGCAAAGGGGAGGCAAGGAGTCTTGACATTGTACACAAGTGTTCATGTAGACTACAAGCCACACAACTGGGGTTGACACCACTCGAGTAAGCCTAATGGCTAGTTTTTGGGCTGAGTGCTGGTAGCATGGCACCTGCATCCAGTGGGTTAATATGGGGTTAATGTCTGTAGTCACAGTGCCCTTTTCATTGTAATATACCATTGATATCCATTTGATATCCATGACAGACTGCAAATAATTAATTTGTATGAATGTAGCATTTAAAAGTTTGTATGATTACTTGTATCTGCTATGGTATTAAATTATGTCTGAAATGGGGCTTAGGATGGGATAAGTTTAACCCAATGGCGCAGGGTGTACAAAACAAAAAAAAACTCGACGCTTAAACAAACAAAGGCGGCGCGCCGACTTTGAGCGCGTGAGTAGGGGACATCAGCCCAAATCAGATAGTTTGGATGCAATATACACGAACCAGCTTGTGTAAAGGTTGGATACAAATTGCAATTGCTTTTATCTAGTCCACATGCGCTAAGAGAAGACACCATATATTGATGTCCGTGTCCCTAATTGGTAGAACTAATGTTATTCCATAACTTTTAATGTGCAGAGCTAATATGTCATACTTCAATTTTTTCACAGAACAGAACTCTTAGAAAAAGAACTGGTCATGAAGAATTTTTAAGACAGCACTATTAAGTATAACAAATAATCTGCATAATTAATATGTCCCCATAATTGGTCATGAAAGTCTGCTGATCTCTATATCAAGCAGTGAGCTCTCTTTGGCAATACTCAACAAGCCTCTACCACCTATATCCATTGTTGATCTTGCTGTTGATTTAACAGTAAATAAGAAATAAGATCAAACTCCTTTGGTAATTCTTTACAGTATGGACACACACGCCAGCAAGAAGTCCCCAATTCCACTTCACAAACTAAGTCTAAATTGCAGTGACTGGGCATCCCCTTTTAGCACTTTCCAAAGAGAGGGTTGATAGGGAACCTGAAGAACATTGTTTACACCTCGGTATGCATGGGAGAAGATAGAGCTGAAACTTGGGAGCGCCGTTGGGACTTAGGCTTGGAGTGGCATTTTCCTCTAAATGTTTCCTTTATTTGTGGGGTTACTGTTCGTGTCTGCAGATTATTTCTTGTATCAATGACTACAGCTTTTGGTCTTCTACAGTTTGCCCTCTCTTAGTGCATCCATATTATAAAGATTAAATTCTAGAACTTGAAATTTTTAGTTGAGATCACTAATCTAGAGAGAGATGTGACTTAGCCAGGCTTTGTTGTTTACGTGTCTAGCATGTTTGATAGGGAATCACAGTATGGTCAGAAGTATATAATGAAAGCTTGATATTCATCTAGTGTATGATTGGGTATGTGATAGACTTATAATAATCTTGGTTGCAGATACGAAGTATGTGTGAGTCATGATTATTAGCATATGTTGTGATACATTCTCTTGCCTCTCTGTATATCCTGAGGAGTGCTTCATGGTGTCTCTAGGAACTGGATCCCAGGTAGTTGAAGTAGGATGAACAGGCCACCATATACATAAGTTATTCTACAATATCTTAAGTATAGGTGAATTGACATTATGAATAGGATTTGTTATAGTTTTCACAATTTTTTTGGATATATTTACTTCATCATAATCCATATTTGTAAAAACTGACAATGTATAAACCCTAGAAAGCATGTGTATATAATGCTAATAGAGAGGCAACACACGATGGAGGAGTAAGTTACGCTGCCCCCATCCAGGA